GGTGTCAGAGCAAACCTAACACCCTCCTTCTGCTCTGCCCTAGCTCTGGAGATAGCTGGGGAGCCAGAAAGCTGCTGCTTTGAGCTGTCTCAGCCTGGGTGAGCACCCCGTGCCCACGGCAGCAGCAGGGTGGGGACCCGGCTCCTTCCCAGAGCTGACCAGAAAGGAGAGTTCCAGCAAAGCTGTCTGCGTGGTGGGGACCACAGACACCAGCTCCTCCCAACACCGCTGGGACAGCTTTTCCCAGGAGGGGAGGGACCTTCACCCATGTCTCCCACCTTCCCCCTTACCTCCTGGGGGGAGAGGTGAAGCCCTGAGGGTGGCTGAAGCCCAGCGGGGGCCCCTCGCCTCCTGCTCGGCCTGCGCGCCGGGTGAGGGGTGGCTGTGCCCTGGCAGAGGGAGAGGTGGGCACATCAGACTGGCACACAGGCAAAGACACCACTGCCACCCAGAGCTGGGAACGGGTCAGTTCGAGTGGGGGAACCAAAGAGTTTAGGAGTTCCAGAGCAAGCAAAGTCCCAGTGCCCTCCCACGGCCCCAGGCTGGGCCCCCACTCCTGGCTGGGAAGAAGCCCCTGTCTGTGGCAATGGACGTGGCCTGCTGGCCCTGCTGCCCAGCCCGTGGCCAGCCCCAGGCACTGCCCCCCTGCTTCATCACCCCGAGGGTGGAAGAAGTGGGAGGAGGGTCTCCTGGAGCTCCCCAGACAGGTCCTGCTGCACTCGGGGCTGTCAGCTAAGCTCCACGTTGTCGGGGTCCACGTCTCCTCCTCCTGCCTGCCCCAGCACCAGCCCCTTGCCCCTGCCCTGGCCCTCGGGCTGCTCCAGATCCCCCAGAGGAGGAGCAGTGCTGAGACTCACCCTGTGCTGGACGCCTGCGTGCTGCTGGCACCGTCTTCCTCAGCACCTCATCCTCGTACTCCACCCTGGCAAGGGCAGGCAGGTGGGTCAGGGGCCAGCTCCACCCAGGGGTGCAGCCCTCCCCCCCTGCTCCACCCTGGGGAATGCAGCTGGTGGGGCAGACCAGGAGGAGACAGACCCAGGAGGGCTGGACAGACAGGGTGGCGACCTCAAGGACCAGGATTAAGGACATCCCCTTACTCTGCTAAGCCTTGTACCTGTGCCCAGGCAGGGGCTGGTGGCCCCGTGCTGGGCCTTGGCACTCAGAGCCTGGCTCCTGTGAGCCCTGCCTGGAGCTCTGCTGTCCACCTCCAGCCTCATGGCAGTGAGGTGAAGGGGTGATGGGGTAAGAGGGGCACACAGGGAGTCACACACCCCGACATGTGGAGCCACACACCAGCCCTGGAGCCACCCTGCATGTTCTGGGGACATCCCTGGGAGTGCCAGGCTGGTGCCTGGGGACCAGTGAGGAGTGTCTGCCCTCCTTGTCCCCTGGCCTGGGCCTTGGCTCTCACTCCAAGGGCTGAATTTCTGCCCAAGGCTCCCGTGTCCATGGACCCACTCCCACAGCCAGCTCCCCACTCCTCCCCGAGCCTGCAGTCACCTCAGTGCTGCAACCCAGCCCCTCCTCCAGAGGCCAAGACGGAGGTGCAGCCAGCGGCCAGCAGAGACCCGGTGGGAGGTGCCCAGCAGGGCTCAGCTCAGCTCTGCCCCTCCTGGCCCACCCCGGGGGGCTCTCCAGCCCTTACCCCTCCAGCCAGTCCCTGCTGTTGGCGTTGTTGACGTTGGTGTTGCCTTCCTGGGGGAAATCCTCGAGGAAGACGGGGGAGTCGAGGTCCTCGCTGCCCACCTCGGCGAACTGCAGGGGCCTCTGGCTGGCC